TTAGAATGTATCAGTTTATCATTCAAATATCTGTCAGTGGAAGATTAAGAATTCAAAACACTGTTCTGATGGTTACATAAAACATGTAAAAAGAGTTGACAGTGCTTTTAAATATGAAGTCGTGTTTCATAAAAGAAAAAATCTATTATGCTAATATAACATGTATTAAAAATATTCCCTATGTTTTGATGAGAAAGTAGAAGAAATGGATAGCTCTGTCAAAGAAAACGTTAAATCTAAAAAAAAAAAAAATTCGAGGTACAAAACAAAATCAGAAAATCTGGGAAATGCTGAAAAGACCAAACTTACAAATAACTAGAATAGAGGAAGGGGAAGAACCCCTGAACAGAACATCATTAGCACAGGCATTAAGATCAACAAAAAAAAAATTGGACTTTATGAAACTTAAAAGCTTCTATATGGCAAAGGACATCATCATCCCAACAAAGTGACAGTCTACAGAAGAAAAGATCCTTACCAATTATATATCCAACAGAGGATTAGCATCTAAACTATATAAAGAACTAAAAACAGTAAACACTGAACATCAAGAAAATAGCTCAATTAAAAGTGGGATATAGACAAGATAGAGATTTCTTAAAAGACAAAACACAAACGACTGAGAAACATCAAAGATGTTTTTTAAGATCTTAGCCATCAGGAAAATGAAAATCAAAACTACTTTTGAGATTTCATTTTACACCAATCAATATGGATAAGATCAATAAAACAACAGCTCATGCTGGTAAGGATGTAGGAATAAGGGAGCACTAACCCATTGCAGGTGGAACTGCAAACTAGTACAGCCAGTATTAAAATCAGCTGTGGTTCCTCAGGAAACTGGGAACTCATCTACCTCAAGATCAAGCTATACCACTCCTGGGCACACCTGTGAGGGCTTCTTACATCTTCTGAGGCAGGAAGCTCCACTTGTAATCAGGGCCTTCTTTTAGCAGCCTATATAAAAGGCATGGAAGACACTCTTGTTCTCTGCCTGCTTACCTTTGTTCTCACTGGCATTAGAGCCTACTTCTTCAGGATTCTGGCAGATTCTGAAGACCCGTTGGGACATCCAGGCTTGTGGACTGAACAACTACTGGATTTTTGAACTTCCTGTCGGTAGACAGACATTGTAGCACGGGGGGGGGGGGGGTAGGCTCTCCAATGGAAGGGAAATACAGTATATTATTATAGTGGGGAGACTAGAGTGGGAGAACTAAATGGAGATGAGGTTGGAAAGGTAATCAAGAAAATATGGGGAAGGATGACTAACACTAATGGCCTTTTGCATGGACATATGGAAACATGCTACTACAGAAACGTCCTAAAATATACACATATACGAAGGGAACCTAAATGGAGTCCAAATAATACTCTAAACAATACCCCAACTAGACATCTTATGCCACCAGGTAAAACTCCAGTCCAGGAATATGTTACATAATCTTGAGTTGTTGGCCAAAGGTGTTCCATGAAAATCTCCCCCAAAATGAAAACATCATAGGTATTGCCAAGGTTATTTACTGCTCTCCACAACCTGCTAGTGAGGCCCTCATATGGAAGACAAGACTTACATGTTATTAAACACAGAGAAATAGAGCTTGTGTCTAACTAGAAGCTTCACTTGTATTGACTAGCATTCATGGCTACCAGAAGCAAAAGTGAATTATCAATGTAATTGCTACAGTGACCTGCCTACATGATATACTGGTACAATAGTGCACAAATGTTAAAGGAGTAACCAACCATTTTTAATTGAATTTGAGGCTTACTACATGAGAAGAATTCATACCTGACACTGCTGAAGTGGCCAAGAACCTGAGACTAGATAGGTCATAGGCCTAGGAGAAAACATGGTACAATTATCCTACTAAAGAAACAGCAATAGAATGACAAAAGGCAGACTAAAACACCCATATGTCAGCGCCTTGCTCAGTAATCATAAGAGAAGCTTCTTCTTGCGATAAATAGGGACTAACACAGAGACTCGCAACTGGCTACTGTGCAGAAAGAGGCTTTGGGGCACTCAGTCATGAATGGGATGGCTTCATCAAACCCCTCCTCTCAAGGCTCAGTGGCCTACGCAGAAGGAGGGTGAAAGATTCTAAGAGCCAGAGGTGATGGATGACTCCAAGCTAACAGTGTCTCCCAGACACAACGGGACTGAGTCAATACACATATGATCATGGAGACTATGGTAGCACACGCAAGGCCTACACAGGTTCCAGTTTGACAGGGTCCTAGCACTGAGAGGAAAAAGTGGGCACAGCTCCCAACCCTAACAAGAAACTATCTGCAACTGATATCTGCTGGCAAAGGGAAAATCAGTTTTCTCCAATTGTGTCTCACTGGGTTTATTAACCACACTTCAGGTCAGGCCCCACACCCAGGAGTAGTTGGGCAAGACAAAACAAACTCAGTGGTATTTTGTAGACTTTTTGTCTCATTTTGCTTGTTTGGGTTTTTTGTTGTTGTTGTTCTTGTTATGCTTGTCTTTTGCTTATTTTGATTTTCATTTCTGTGTTTTGTGTATGCTTCTTGGTTTCATTTGTTTCTAATGAAATTAAAAGAATATACAGTTGTGTAGGTAAAAGGCTGGGATAGTCTCTGGAGGCAGAAATTGGGAAAAGGAAAAAACAGATCAAAATATAATGAATGAAACCCGCCTAAAAGAAAAATTCCCTATGAAAATAAATGTGACTTCTATTAACTTTTATCTCATGTACAAGTCTGTTTTTAACACAAAGTCCATAAGTCTTAAGATTACCTATATAAGTATAGATAAAACAAAAGTATATAATCATTACAAAGTGAACTTTTATTTCCTTTTTTTGCTTTTGATTATAAGAGCTAATCCCATACTTAAATATGTATGATCCTTCTTCCTGCCTTCTTGCTATATCTTGTCAACAATTTATGCTAGGGAAGTTTCAATGAATAATTTTCTATGTTTCCATTCTCTGTGCATCTTTGATCCTTTCCAAGTAGAACAGTAATTCTACAAGACGCCTCCTGTCTGGCTGCAGGTAAAATACATCCCTCCTCTTCGGAGGACAGACAATGACAAAACCGATGAGCAATCACATACAGGTGACAAAATGCATGCCCATTAATAAAGAAATGCAATATAAATTCCAGGAAATTATTATTATTCAAAGTTGAGTTATAGCCAAGTGACATCTTCCAATGTCATTAACATTCACCTGGATCCAAGAAGAAGCAAATCAAGAAACACCTTTCCTAAGCAGCACTCTAAGCATTTATCTAAATACAAATATTACAGGATTCAGCATAAGTAAGGATGCATGCTGAGAACAGAATATGAAGAGCCAGGAGGCATATTAAAACCAGTGCAAATGATGCAATTCACGGCAGAGAGCCATCTGTAGACATACACGCATTTAGTGTTAATAGAAAACAGGGGTGACAGCAAGAGATATATTGCTTATATTTCTTTTTTCTTGATAGAAATCATTTAAAGTACAAAATATAATGCATGAGCTTGAGTACCTTCCAGGAGGTATATAAACACTTCTAAGTTACATACAGTAATAAAATAAAAATGAAATGCAGTATGAAAATCTTGGCTTCATGATTCATTTCATGCTTTAATAATATAGCTATAATATGATACAATTCATCGAACAATTGGTAAATAACATGAGCACACCACTGGGCTAGGTCCTGTAGACAACACAAGGAAAGAGAAAGCCTGTTTCATTCTTAGTAATTCTGACATAATTTAAAAAAAAAAAAAGATTTAGAAAATACTAACTGTGCTGGTCGGGTTTCACAAACTTGACACAACTAGATATGTCTAGAAAGAGTAAAACTTATTTGAAAAAAAATGTCTCCATAAGTTTGGACTATAAACAGGTCTGTAGGGAATATTCTTGATTAATGGTGGATGTGTGAGGGACCAGCCCACTGTGGGTCATTCCTAATGCTATTAAGACAAGATTTATTAACAGAAAGCATGCTCAGTAGTAAGTTCTCTACTGAGATAACTTACTATGAATAAGATGACCTCACGTTTATAGTTCAATTTGGAATGTTTTGAGAGAAAATTGAGGTTCTACTAATAATGATTCTTGCGTAGTAGGCTAAATCTATGATTGAACTACGAAAGGGCTAGCTTTAAGAAGGGTCTGGTGAAGCATGCCCGCACTGGGAAGTAGAAGAAAATCAGAAATTCAACAATCCTTTACTACATGAGACCCTGCCTCAAAACAAACAAGATTCATGTAAACTAATAACCCGATAGAAACCTGGACAATTTATGTGTGCAGTTAATCAATGTGCATGTGAAAAACTGTTCACCTTCATTAACAAAAAGAAGCTTAAACTAAATACCAGGGCGTAGCACTTTTTTCATGCATAAGAATAAAGAAAGAGTATTGATATTTTAAAAAGTGTAAGGATGGCCAGTTGCTAAGTACATGGTCAAACTTAATTAATCATGTCTTCTCAAAGGTTTAATTTTGTTTTAATAAAAATCAACATTTTACATTGAAATATTCTTTTGGTATTTTTGTTTCTGAGAATTTATCGTATGGAAAAACATGTTCAAAGCAATATAAATATAAATAGTACCTATAAAAATAAATAGAAATAGTATAAATATTGAAAAGAGAAAAGTCAAGTAAATTATTATATATCCCTCAGAAAAACATAGACATAGTAAAAAGCAAGATGGATCTGTATGCATTAATGGGCAAAGATTTTCAGTACATACAATTAAGCGGCGAAGTCACAGAACACACTTCATATATTATTTTAAAATATCTATTAAAAAATACCAAGCTACAAATATAACAGAAATCTACTTATAACAAAGGTAAAGAAAGGCGCAATAAAGGATACAGAAAAATATACAGTTGGCCTGGAGCTCACAGCTCCTCCCTCAGCTTTCCAACAGCTGGCAATACAAGCATGTACCACCCGGCCTCCCAAATCTATTTTCTTTCAGACTAAATAAGAGGCAGAAAGCATATTCCAACCTTTTGTTTTTGGATTCACTGTCAGTTTTGTACTTGTCAAACTCCTGGCTAAGAGACTGAAGCTTTTCCTGAAGTCTCTTTTCTCGCTCTACACTTCCTTGATAAAATTTCATTTCTTCTTCCACTGCTTTCAGTTTTTCTTCCATAGCCTTAAATTCATGAAGTATTAGGTAGCTGACGCCACAGTATTTACAAACTGTTTCTTCAGGAGACATCTAGGAAACAGAACATATATTTATTGAAATGTTATGTTTTTAATCATGAAAAATAAAGCTCAACCAAAGATGTTATGCAACCATGCTGGTGAGACAAACCTGCTATGTATCAACCATGCTGATGAGACAAAGTAAATACATAGCCTGCTATGCTGCTGGAATAGTCATCATGACACTGCCTGCATCTGGATAAAATTTCTAAAACCAACACGAATCTTGAAAGGAGAAAAGATTTTCTCAAAGAAATGATCTCTCTGTGGTATCAGTAAGAAATATTTACTCTTCAAATATCTTTTACAAAACAAAACTAAAAATGCTAAAAAAAAAAATCCTTACAACTTTAGTTCTGAGATGAGTTTTCTATCATGTCAGAAGGAACCCATGGCCTTTAACGGCCAACTACACCATGACCCTTTAGATCAGTGGTTTGCAACCTGTGGGTCGAACCCTTTGGGGTCAAATGACCCATTCACGGGGTTACATATCAGATATTTACATTACAATTCATAACAGTACCAAAATTACACTTATGAACTAGCAATAATGCTATGGGTGGGATCACCACAACATGGAAGAACTGTATTAAAGGCTCACAGCATTGGAAAGGTTCAAAACACTCCTCCAGAAGTCTCTGACTTACTAAGATTTTATTCTATTCATTTATAAAATGATGGCACTGAACCCAATGAACTCTATTCTCTTACTCGACTTCAATATTTTAGGATTTTTTATAGAATTTAACATTCTGTCCAAAGTTACAATAGAAAATGCATTTTAAACTTATTCTCTTCTTTGTTATACTTATTCCATAGATTAAAACTGAGACTCCTGAAGTTTCAAAGCCAAATAAAAGGAGAGGATGTTAAAATTAAATCCAATTCTTTTGAAGAACCAATACTTACATATTTATGCACCATATCATATTTATCTACCATGGGTATATGAGTTCTTGTGTTCTTCAAATAAAGTGTGTGTGAAGCTCTGGTCAATACAAGGACAGTGAAAAAGCAAGCCAGGAAAAGGACCCTACTTTTTTATCTGTCTTAAGAACAAATAGTCCTTGGGTGGCCTATGTTTGATTTGTTTTTCATAAAGGTAAGAGAGCTCCAGGGCACCAAAATAAAGTCAATTCTTAGATTACTCAATAAGGACTCTTTTAAAAAACACACTGTCTCATCATAGGTTGGAAATTAATAACTAGCCCCAAATGGCCTCCAACCCACTACCTTCTACCTTATTGTCTCCAATTCGGGGAATACAGGCAACACACCACATCTGGTCTTCTGGTTAAAGTGTTTCTTCCTAATGCAACCTCCCTTGAGATAGTAGAAAGTGTCTATGTAACTATGTTATGGCACAAGGGTGCAGAAAGTGTCCCTGTCACTATGTTATAGCACAAGAACCAGCTCCTGTAAATTGTTCTCTGACATCTGTACATGTGCCATACATACACATGAAATAAGTACAATAAAGAAAATTTTTAAATGAAATAGCAAGGCTCATATGCTGTCTTAATAAGTGTAAAATTAGTCCAAGGGTTATAGCCTTCACTCATGTGCCCTTAGTTTGGGTATGGCAGTGCAGGCCTTTAATCCAGCACTCAGGAGGTACAAGGGGTGGATTTCCAACAGTTCAACCCAGCCTGGTTCACATAATGAGCTTCCAGGTGAGCTAGGGCTATACACTATAAACCTGTCTCACAAAAAATAACTAACCCTTATAAGCTATACTTTAATAAATTACTCTAAAGTCGTGTCTGGAATTAAAATGAGACTTACTTGTCATTCAGTAGCATTTCATACATGGAACAGCATTTGCATATTATCCTCTCTAGCAGGCATCAAGATAACAAGAGTGACTCCCCCAACCCCATTCAGAATACTGCCAGCCCGGGGAAGCTCGTCTATCCATGTCAAGAAACCTGAACTCATTCGAAAAATGGTGTTTCCTAAGAGTCCCTTCTCTCGTCAGCTGGGAGAGTCTATTGTGTACTCTTTGGCCTTTTATCCCTAAACTTTGTCCCTTAAGTCAGTCTTTTTCCTACTCCTGGAAAGAGTCCTATCCTTATTCTAAAGAGAATCCTTGGCAGTTAAAGTAGACTTGCAGCTGCATGTAAAAAAACAGACTATATAAACTTCACATTGACAGGTATTAAAACAGATACATTCATCCTAACAATCAAGGGATGAAAACTAAAATAAGTAAAGCAATGCATTTTAGAGGTTTTCTAAATGTTCATCAAAGAAAAACACAATAGTTATCATGATATGGAAACAAAACAATAAAATAATAGGCCCCAAAAAATGGTCTCCAGGTTTGGCCAGCATAACCTCAATCCTTGAATTATCTCTAACACAAACATAGCATACAGATCTTCAGCACTGTTCAACTATAAACAGTTTTCTATAAGCAAAACTGTAACAGAAAGGATATAACCATTTTCAAATTCTTAGTGTCTGATGGACTAATTGCCTGGGACATTTTCTGAAGCTTGAGAAGTTATGAAATACTGTAATTATGGATCCAAATGAAGCAAGTAAAAGTTATCTGTTTGTTGTGAATTATAATTTGTGCTTCCTCCTTCCAACTCAGTGTTCTATCGTTTCGTTCTCAGAGTAACATAATAACATGCTGCCATTCCTGACAACAGGGCCGTCGTTAACAGGAAGTTCCTGCCTCTGCTGCTGGAGAAAGCATTAACAAGAGGAATATATAGAACAAATGCAGACCCACTTAAAAATACATTATAAACAAACTTCTTAAATGCAGTGTTTGGACTCTTAAAATTATAGTTACTGAGTATAAAAATCATGACAACTTTTAAAAATTAAATTAGGCTTCAAACCTTTGTCAGCATTCCTGAGCATACTTAACTACAAAAAGCATCTAACAGCCTCCTGCTGCCCACTGAGGCTCCAAAGCTTGGCCTCCTTTTTCTTTTTTTAAATTCACCACACATCCACTGCCCTTTTTTGTTTTTGCTTATATAAGGAAAAGAAACAAGCTTTAGACAAAGGTAAGAGTGACAATATAAAGCGTTAACACTTTCAGGATATTTCGCATGTAAAAATGCCTTCCCAGGTGCCTGCTGCAGAGCATCAAGATCTGAGTGTGGCTCCCAGCACCCACATGGCAGCCAGGGAGAGCCGGCTCCTGGAAGCTGCCCTCTGACCTCCACGTGCACACCTGCCATGACAAGTGCAAGCACACATACGCACGATAAGTAAACAAAATGTTATTGTTAAAGTTAATGCCTTTACCCAAAACAATGAGTGATTAGTAAGTTTTAGCCAAAACTGGCAGAAAATAATTTGGAGATAAAACAGTGAACCTTTGCAACCACTAGCTAGACAAATCAGCTGGCCATTTCCTAAGTCCATCAGATCATTCCTCTTTATTAAGTCAACTTTAGAGCTAAATTCGTATAACAGCTATAAAAGGAACCCACAGCTTCATTATACTTAACACAAAAAGCCTGAGCGCTTGTACCTTAAATTGGAAGAAAACAAAGACGTCCATTCTCATTGCCCTTATTCAATACAATGCTGGAAGGACTAGCAGACCAGTAAGGGAGAAGGACAAAATAAAAGGCACACATACTAGAGGGAAGAAACGAAACTGTGTTTGTGATCAATTCTGTCTAAGGTTTTTATTGCTGTGGAAAGATACCATGACCATGGCAAGTCTTATAAAGGAAAACATTTCATTGGAGCTGGCTTATAGTTCAGAGGTTTAGTCCATCATCATCATGGCAGAAGCATGGTAGCATGCAGGCAGATGTGGTGCTGGAGAAGGAGCTGAGAGCTCTATATTTTGCAGGCAACAGGCAGCAGGGAGACACTGTGTCATTGGGCAGTCATGGCTTGAACATATAGGAGACTTCAAAGCCCGCCTCCACAGTGACACATTTACTCCAACAAGGTCAAACCTCCTAACAGTACCAGGTGCTAAGGGCCGATCATTCAAGTGCATTAAGGGACCATTCCTATCCAAATTACCACAACCTATAAATGGAAATCTTAACAACCTGACCTTCAACAGAATTAAACACTTTTGCTTTAAAAAAATAAACTGTGAAAATAATTAAAAGCACAAGCTATACATCAGGAGAAAATATACATACACATGACCACATACATGGTCAGTAGTTAAATTATAGAATTCTGAACTCAATGGGCAGTGGTAGCTCATGCCTTTAACTGAGGCCAGCCTCTACAAAGCTAGTTCCAGGACAGGCAGGGCTACCCAAGGAAACCCTGTCTCAAAAAAAAAAAAAAAAAAAAAAAAAAAAAACTAAGAGAAAGAAAAAAAATTCTGAAAACTCAACAGTTTACAAAGAACAATTAGAAGATGAGCAAAGAACATGAAGAAACATTTGACCTAAAAGAACTCACAGATACCGGTAATTTCTTTTTCTGTTGCCATGATAAAATACTCTAAGAAAAGCACTCACAGGAGAAGAGTTTCCTCTGGCTCACAGTTCAAAGGTGCAATGCATCAAGGCAGGCACACTAACGAGGCAGAGGCCTGAAGCTGCTGGTTCGCACCAGGAAGCACAGTGTTGAGCACAGCCTGCTGGGTAGCTCTCCTTCTCTAGACAGTCCAGGATTCTAGCAAGGGGATGGTACCACCCACAGCGGGCAGGTCTTCCCGCCTCAACTGTAATCGAGATAATGCCTTTCGAGCATCCTCAGAAGTCCACCTCCCATGTAATTCTACATTCTACTAAACTGACAACTAATGCTAACCAAATACCAAATAAGCACATGACGTTCTAAATTACTAAATAAAAAACAAATTAAAACCCCAGTGGGATTACTACACCTGCTGACTTCTCCAGTGCTGCTAAAGCTGTGGGAAAGGAGAGCACTCGATAAGTGGGTACTGCAGGTAAGAGTAGGAAATAGCATACACCCCCTGAAAAACAACTTATCATCTCTTAACAACAAGCTACCATACAATGTTGGATTTATATTACAAAAACAAAACCATGTGTTCAT